ACTTAACGGCTTCAACATGGCAAGTGAAACCACCAAAGGGGAAATTATTTTGCTAGTAATGTGGCCGGGCTATCCAGGAAACAAATTTCCATGTGATCGAAGGTGACATGAGGTACAACGCGCTGCTCGAAAGGCCTTGGATTCATAAGATGAGGGCAGTGCCCTTGACGCTTCATCAAGTCTTGAAATTCCCAACATCAGAAGGAATCAAAATAGTGTACGGTGAACAACCCACTGCCAAAGAAATGTTTGCAATCGACGAAGTAGTACCGATATCGGCGCTTTTATCAACAAAGGGATCGGTGTCGAAGGGAAAGCAAGAAGTCAAATAGCAACCACAGTCACCGGCTCGGCCTGATCGGAGGAGCGGGATACTTTCGAGGATGATGATTATATGATACCTCGAACCTTCATAATCCCTGATGATTCTGATGCAACGAAGTCAACAGTCGAAGAGCTGGAACAAATCATTTTGATCGAGAATCTACCTGATCGAAAGGTATACCTAGGAACGGGGTTAACTCCCGAGCTCAGGAAAAAACTCGTTCAATTCCTTTTAAAAAATATGGATTGTTTTGCTTGGTCCCACTTAGATATGACAGGGATCCCATCGGAGATCACTACGCATCGACTGAGCTTGGACCCGAAGTTCCGCCTGGTAAAACAAAAGAGAAGGCCCTAGTCCGAGGTAAAACATGCATTCATTAAGGATGAGGTAACAAAACTTCTCAATATAGGATCAATTCGGGAGGTAAAATATCTCGAATGGTTAGCAAACGTAGTTGTAGTTCCTAAAAAGGGAAACAAACTTAGAACGTGCGTAGACTATAAGGATTTAAACAAGGCATTCCCTAAAGTTTCCTTTCCTTTGCCGAATATCGATCGCATGATCGATGCCACGGCCGGCCACGAGATCCTTAGTTTTCTCTATGCCTACTCCGGGTACAATCAAATACAAATGAACCCGGAGGATAGGAACCGAAAAAAACTTTGTTCATCACTAAATACGACACCTACTGCTATAATGTAATGCCGTTTGGACTAAAAAATGCCGGTGCTACTTATCAACGCCTAGTAAAACGAATGTTCGAAGAACAAATAGGTAAATCAATGGAGGTCTATATTGATGATATGCTAGTTAAGTCCCTGCGAGTAGAGGTCCATTTAAAACATTTGCAGGAGACCTTCGACATACTGAGAAAGTACAACATGAAGCTTAACCCGGAGATATGTGCCTTCGGGTCGGTTCGGGCAAGTTCCTCGGCTTTATGGTATCAAATCGGGGGATCGAAATCAACCTCGATAAAATTAAGGCAATCGAAGACGTCACAGTTATTGATAATGTCAAGGCTGTACAAAGGTTAACAGGTAGCATAGCCGCCTTGGGGTCAATTTATTTTGAGGTCCACAGATAGGAGCCACAGGTTCTTCTCACTGCTTAAGAAAAGAGCAATTTGGCATGGACCCCGAAAAGTCAACAGGCCTTGGAAGAACTCAAACGATACCTGTCGAGCCCGCCATTGCTTCACACCCCAAAGGTGGACAAGCAACCTTACTTATACTTTGCGGTCTCGGAGATAGCGGTAAGTGGGGTCTTAGTTCGAGAAGAGCAAGGTACAAAATTTCCTGTTTATTATGTTAGTCAGACCCTAGGTGAAGCCGAGACCCGATACCCACACTTAAAAAAATTAGCGCTTGCTTTAATAAGCTCCTATAGGAAATTAAAACCATATTTTCAATGTCGCCCAATTTGTGTTGTAACCACCTATCCCCTTCACAACATTTTGCATAAGCCCGAACTCTCGTGTCGATTAGCCTAATGGGCCATCGAGATCAGTGTGTACGATATCGAGTGTCAACCCCGAACGACCATCAAGCCTCAAATCTTGGCAGACTTCGTGGCCGACCTCACGCCAGCCCTCGTAATCGAAGTCGAAAAGGAACTATTATTCAAATCGGGTATATCATCAGGGGTGTGGACCCTCTTCACAGACGGCGCTTCGAACATCAAGGGGTCGGGGCTAGGCATAGTTTTGAAGCCACCCATAGGTAATACAATTAGACAGTCTATCAAAAATTCGAAATTAACTAACAATGAGGCCGAGTATGAGGCCATGATTGCAGGTCTCGAGCTAGCTAAGAGCTTGGGAGTGGAGGTCATCGAGGCCAAGTGCAACTCCCAACTTGTGGTAAATCAAGTTAACAGAACTTTCGAGGTTCGAGAAGATCCAATGCAGAGGTACTTGGAAAAACTAAAAGTGTCTCTACATCGATTTAAAGAATGGACCCTACAACACGTACCTCGAGAACAAAATAGCGAGGCCGATGCCCTTGCAAATTTGGGGTCGTCGATCGAAGACAATGAACTTAGATCGAGGACTGTCGTACAACTTTCGAGGTCAGTCATGGAAGAAGGACATGCCAAAATAAACTCCACAAGTCTAACTTGGGACTGGAGGAATAAGTACATCGAATACGTAAATAACGGGGAGATTCTATTGGATCCTAAAGAATTGAGGACTCTCCGCACGAAGGCCGCACGGTTCACATTGGCCGAGGATGGAACACTGTATAGGAGAACGTTCGATGGACCTTTACCGAAATGTTTGGGACCAGGAGACACCGACTACGTTCTACGGGAAATTCACGAGGGCACTTGTAGAAATAATTCCGGTGCTGAGTCATTGGTTCACAAAGTCATCAGAGCAGGATACTTTTGGGCTGATATGGAAAAGGACACTAAAGAATTTGTTCGAAAGTGCGACAAATGTTAAAGGTATGCACCGATGATCCACCAGCCTGGAGAGCAACTCCACTCAGTCGTATCCCCATGGTCGTTCATGAAATTAGGGATGGATATCGTCGGCCCTCTACCATCGACCCCAGGTAAAGCTAAACTCATTTTTTTTATGACTGACTATTTCTCTAAGTGGGCTGAAGAACAAGCCTTCGAGAAAGTCAGAGAAAAAGAAGTCATAGACTTCATCTGGGACCATATTATATGACGATTCGGAATGCCTGCCGAGATCGTATGCGACAATGGAAAGCGATTCATCGGTAGCAAAGTGACAAAGTTTTTCAAAGACCACAAAATAAAAAGGATCTTATCAACGCTGTATCATCCTAGTGGGAACGGACAGGACGAATCGACAAATAATACCGTCATCCAAAATCTAAAGAAAAGATTGAACGAAGCTAAAGGAAAATGGAGAGAAATATTGCCCGAGGTCCTTTGGGCGTATCAAACAACGTCAAAATCCAGTACGGGGGCAACACCATTCTCTTTAGTCTACAGTATCGAAGCTCTGATCCCGATCGAAGTCGGGGAACCTAGCTTCAGGTTTCGGTATGCAACGGAAGAGTCAAATCACAAGGCTATGAATACGAGCCTCGAATTGCTAGATGAAAGACGGGAAGCCACCCTCGTACGAATGGCCGCATAGAAACAGTGGAACGAGAGGTATTATAACCGAAGAGCCAATTTTCAACACTTTAAAATCGGGGACTTAGTCGTGAGAAAGGTCACCCTCAATACTCGAGACCCTAACGAAGGAAAACTTGGCCCGAACTGGGAGGGATCGTATCAGGTTCTCGATATCGCCAGAAAAGGATCCTACAAACTTGGCATGATGGACGACGAGCAATTACCAAACAATTAGAACATATCACTCCTCAAATGATATTATTGCTAAGGTACGACCTTTTCCATTTTCATTTATATTTTATACTAACCAACTGCAGGTTTTCAATCGAAGACATCGAAGGATTCTTCATCACAAAGTCCTTAGGTCTGAAAGCACGTGTTGCACTCTTTTTCCCTTGGACCGATTTTTTGTCCCAAATGGGTTTTTCCGGCGAGGTTTTTGATGAGGCAACCATTGTTCGTGCTAACTTAGAGCAATTCAACAGTATTCGAGGCTTCTTTACATTCAACCTCGAATATTGGGGGGCATCACCCTCGGATGTCAACTTTGTTACAAGAAAGGTACTTCATGCCAACAAGGTCTCGGTAGGGAAAATTTTGTAAAGGGCAAACGGTCAAACGAACTGTGCCCATGTGGATTACTCGAGCCCTAAAGGCAAACATGTATGCATGTATAATATATTGAGAGAAGTATCTTTCCTTGCCAAATATTTCATGCCATAGAAAAAATTTTACTTTACAATTTCACACTTTTGGTCTGTTGTGCAAACAGGCTTAAGGGCCGATCACAACTGAAGTTCAAACAACTTACCCCATACTCGGGGACTGCCATCCGAAAAATCAATGAAATCAAATTATTAAAATCTCGAGATCATAAGACCTTAAAAAGGCAACCCTCATTTTTATAGGCCACGACCACCCCACTAGGGGATTGACATTTCTAACAAGTTCGAAGTATAATCAGGGAATAATCCCAAGAGGCAAATCCCAAGTTAAAGGCTACGACCAAACTAACACGGTTTGGAGACGTCCGAATTTCGTAATAAAAATAGGCCTTCTAATATCTTCACAAAACTGGTTAAAAAGGCTACCGTCGGCAAAATTATAAAGGGTTTCGATAACATCAACCCCCGATAACCCTAAGGTGTACCAGATTGTTTTAACTCTCAATCAACCTTATTTCATGCTAAGGCATAACAAATTTTTATATGATTAACTTTTTAAGCCGAAAAGGGAAAAGAGCCATTCTTTTGAGGCCATATCAGCCTAATTCATGAGCCTAAGGGCCATTTTATTTTGAGTTCGAGAAGTCATCCTCACTCAACTAAAACCTAAGGGTCATCCTACTTCGAGTTCGAGCAGTTACTCACTTTTGTAAAGACTACACTGGCCAGACCTCGATCAAATTGCCTAAGCTTCGAACTTGTGAACAAAATATTCATAAGGCATGAATGAAACACAATGCAGAAATTGAAGTGAAAACAAGTCAGAAAGAAAAGAGGCCTTTCTATATAGATATTTACAAGGACCGATCAAGGTCCTACACAAAAAATCAAAAAGAAAAATCCTAAGGTTCCTAACTATTCTCGAAGGTGGCTTCCTCTTCACCGGGGTCCTCCCCACTCTCAGATCCCCTCTTGCTCTTGTCATCATCGTCACCGTCGGAGGAGGAAAATGCCTTAGCATCGTCTTCAAGCTCTTTGGCCTTCCTTATCTCGTCAGTAAGATCGTAACCTCGAGCATGGATCTCCTCGAGGGTCTCCTTTCGAGATTGGCACTTAGCGAGCTCGGCAATCCAGAGAGATCGAGTTTGGGCGGCCTCGAAAAATTCTCTTGCTTGGGCTTAAGCAGCTTGAGCATCAGATCGGTAGACGGCCACAATCGCCTCCTCGTCGGCCTTCACATTTTTTGCCTCAGATTTAGCTTTTACGAGTTCGGTGGCTAATCGAGCCTCGAGATCCTCTATTTTCTTGGCCTGAGCTGAGCTTTTCTCCTTCACGTCTTGGAGCTGACTTTCGGCTGCTAACAATTGGTCTTGAGCAGCCTCTTCCTCTGAGGCAAGGCGGTCCATGTTTTGTTTCCACCCCAACGTCTTCGCCTTCATCATATTACCCTCCTCAAGGAGCTGTTCGATCCTCTCGGCCTTCTGTTGAACCTATGAGATTTAAGTGTTAGCCATCGTCCCCAAACTGATACCATGAGCTTCTAAGATTTTCATTACCTGCTCAATCAGTTCGGTCTGTTCTTTGTGAGCCATGGCCAATTTGGCTCGGAGATCCTTGATCTCCTCTTCTTTTTGCCCGTTGAGAAGCTTGAGGAAATTTCTCTCCTCCGTGAGCCTTTGAAGATCAGCCTCACATCGGCTCAGCTCTACTAGGGATTTAGAAAACCCCTCTTGATGGAGTGCCAAGGCCTATGCAGAAAGAAGAAAGGAAATTAGACAAGAAGAAATAAATACAAGTGTGATATCGATGAGGGGAGTTGAGACTTACCCGACTCAGGATTCGTTGAGCCTCATCGAAGAGACTCGATGCTTCACTCAGGTCGGTAGCATCTTCGAATCCGGTGAAGAAACCACGAAAGAGGTCCTCTCCTCCGTGGGATCCTTCCACATCGGGAGTCCTCATAGCTTGGGCATCCTAAATTGCCTCCTCGAAAAATGCAGGGAGAGTCGGCGAATCTCCAATTACTATTTCCCCAAGTGAGTCACTTGGGACGTCCTCTTCATTTTGGGCCTTCAGACATACCCACTGACTGCTCATTTCGGCGGGAGGCATCTTCAGTCTCCAACAACTTGGGGACTTTGCCTGGGTCCTCTTCCAAGACACCCTCGGTTCGAGGCGGAATTTCTTCAACCCTCACCGACTCAAAGGCCTTTGGGGCCTCATTGTTCCTCTTCACTCGGGGCACCAGCTCGGAGCCATCATCTTCATTTTCTTCTTCTTCCTCTCTTACCGCTGGACTACCTCTGCAGGCAGGGCGACAATGTCTTTATTTGGCTTACGAGCTAGATTTTTCTTGGGCTTTGGATCCTCGGAGGTTGAGATCTTTTTTCTCTACTTATCCTTCACCGGTCTCGGGGCGGGGGGCGAAGTCTCCTCCTCACCAGACGGGGACCTCATAACAGCATCCTTTCCAAGGCCTACATAAAAGGAAATCAAATGAGCATGAAAGAGACATTTCAACAAAAATCATCACATACGTGAAAAAGGGGCTTACCATGATTTTTGGCCTCCCATCGACCCTTGCTAAGTCGCGCCATGACCACTCAGCGTACGAAGAAGTCGAGGCCAGGTCCCGAACCCATCTCTCGAGGTTAGGAATTGTACCAGGCATCCAAGAGATCGCTACATCGTGGAAAGGGATATCGATAAGAAGAAACGGAGGAAACAAAACAATAAATGGAAGCTAAAAGTAGGATTGTACTTACGCTTCATATTCCATTTCTCGGGAAATGGCATCTTCTCGACCGGGATTAGGTCAGAAGTCTTCACTGGAACGAACCGATCCATCTATCCTCGATCCTTGTCCTCATCTATGCTCGAAACAGCACCTTGGTGGCCTGACGCTGAAGTTTTATTAACCCGCCTCGATAGAGACGGGGACTGTACAACCTGATGAGATGATCGAGGGTAAAACACATCCCCTCAACTTTGCCCATGAAAAATCGAAGCAGAATAACAATCCGCCAGAAGGAGGGATGGATTTGACATAGGGTTATTTGATATTTACGGCAAAAATCGACGATGATGGGATCGAGGGGGCCTAGCGTGAAAGGGTAAGTGTAAACACTTAAAAACCCTTCCACATGGGTGGTGATGTCCTCTTCAGGGGCCGGAATCACCACCTCTTTGCCTTCCCAGTTGCAGTCCTTCTTTACCTGCTTAAGGAAACTACAAGTTATCAAGTATTTATACCTCGACATTGGCTCGCATCGACCAGGGACTGACAAAGTTTTCTCGATCTTGAAGTCAGAAGTAAGGACGCACCCCCAGGGAACACACTCCTTGGGGCGCGGCTCCACCGGTGTTTTGTCGTCGGTCGGCCGTGATGAAGAAGCATTTTCCTTTTGAGGAACATTTTTTGACATTTTGCCATTTTGGTATGAGTTTAAGAGAGAAGAAGATAATAGGACTTGGAGTTTGGGTGGGGATTAACAGCGAAACCTGAAGGTTTTATAGAAAGGAAGAACTTAAGAAGATGAAAAAGCTTGGAGATTTGAAGAAAGTGAAAGTAAAATCAATGGGAAAAGGGCCTATTTATGGGATTCACGGCGACGGTTGCACCGACTTGGGAAACTGCACCTACGGAACATTTCGGTCACTTCCTCGCTTATGTCACGAGGATGACGTCATGACAGATTAAGGTAGAAAATCGAAGGCTCAATTCGTTTCTTGTCATTACACTCCAAAAAACAAGGAGACTATCTATATACGGTTAAAACCGAGCTCACCCGATTTTACTATTTGACCAAGACAGGGAGTCACATCGAAGATCAGCCTCGTAGTGGATCAGACCAAAGCACGGGGACAAGGCACCGAGTTCGAAAATCGAGGTACCGGTCGAGATCGAGGCCAGTGGCGATCGAGAGCAAACGAGACAGACAACGGGCAAGATCGATGACAACATAATAATGGAAAGGCGAGATATCCGTGACTGGTCGAAGATCATGGCGGAAATCTCGGAACAGGTCAAATCAAGGGCGGTTATTTAGACTAATCATGGGATTTACTTCCGTAATTAGAATTGTACCATATATATATGATTTATCTACTATATAAAGAGAGTTCTAATCATCTTGTAACCATCTTACGTTCACACATATCAAAGCAATATAACATTTTCTGTCTAGCTTATATTCTTGTTCATCAGTTTGCTTATTTTTTAACTATTCGGGTACCGACCAGTTCGAGGGCACTCTAGCTCGAGGGTTGAATTACGTTTCAACACTGGTTTGCTTTATCTCATTGTTAATTTCTATTACTGATCTTCGTATCCATCAATTGGTGTTAGGTGAAATCACGTGTCTTAAAACCACATTATAAGTTTAATTGTTATCCAAATTTTTGGATAAACAATCTAACTACTTTTAACCCCACTCTTTTACTACAACCTCCTTCAATCCTGGCAGCGATGCTTATTTACTTTTTATTGTTTTTATGTTTGTTATCAAACATGTCCTAGTTAGTACTACTCCTAGATGCTCCATGTACTATTCACTTTTGTTGCTTTTAAGTTATCGGACATCTCCTAATTAATACTTACTCCATGTACTCTGTTTAAGAGAATTCAAACGCTATGTTTATTTCGCATTTGGATTTTATTTGCATATTTTGTGATTTATGTAGTTATCTCACTCCTTATTATGAATCATGTTGGTATTACGTCCGATGTTCGTCGCCTTAGAATGTAATTAAGTGCTTTCTCGGTGGGAATGTTAGACGAGTGCCGCTCATGAATCCAGATTGGAATGCCAATCATGGAATTTTGATCGTGACAAAATGTCAGAACCACTCTCTAATTACAACAACACTAACAATAACAACTACATCATAATCCTACAAGTGGAGTCTGGAGAGGTATGATGTACACAGATCGTAATAGACAAGTCATGGAAAAAGAAGCAGTAACAACAGCAAGGTAATAAGATAATCAAATCAAAAGAAACAACCGGCAGTAATAGAAATCTAAGTATAAGGAAGTACGAGAATAATATTGATACTACATGTATGGAAAATAAAATACGCTCGACTACCTACTAACTTTCTACTCTAGTTCTCGACCTCCATATCCTTCTATTAAGGGTCATGTCATCAGTAAGCTGCAGATATGTCATGTCCTGTCTTATCAGTTCTCCCCAATACTTATTTGGCATATCTCTACCTTTCCTCAGATCTTCTCACTGGGGCATCTGGACATATCCTCTTCACATGCCCGAACCATCTCAGTCTCGCTTTCTGCATCTTGTCCACCACGGAGGCCACTCCCACCTCTTCCCGAATATGTTTATTCCTAATCTTATCTCTTCTAGTATGCCCACACATCCATTTAAGCATACTCATTTTCGCTACTTTCAACTTCTGGACATGAGAGTTCTTGATTGGCCAACACTCTGTTCCATACAATATAGTCGGCCTAACAACCACTCTATAGAACTTACCTTTAAATCTTGGTAGTATATTTTTATCACACAAGACACCAGATGTGCGCCACCATTTCACCCATCCCGCTCCAATGCAAGTTGTTGAAAGCAAGCTTAAGTCATTTTGCAGGGTTCCATGCTGATGATTTTTAGAGTATGACAACAACAACGACAACAACAACGGCCAAGTATAATCTCACAAGTGGGGTCTGGGAAGGGTAATATGTACGCAGACCTTACCCCTACCCCGAGGGGCAGAGAGGCTGTTTCCAGGTTTTAGAGTATGACAATGACATTCAGAAATTTAAGATAAGAAACAAAATAAAAGAAGAAAGGAGCCAAAACACAGACGCCTGCAGAATTACTTATATTCTGTTGAATTATATCCATTTCTTAATGTGAAAGGACCAAATTCACTCAACTTATAATATCAATTTAAACATCATGATAACCTGGGGAGTAAAGAATTTAACAGCGATTGACTTAAGGGAAATGAAACCAAATAGGTATGCAGAAGTAGTACTGCCAAATTGTGGAAGTTTAAACAAATTACTGATCTGTTATTATTTTATAAATAATAATATAACAACTAATGCACAAAATGGTTACAAAGAGACAATAGCCTCCCTCTAAAGCTCACTCAAATAATCTAAACTCATTCGTGCTTGAGTTAGCAAGAAAATTAGACAATAGTGAAAGAAGATAGTCAAATTCAGGCTACATTTGAAAAATAAACTCACATCAACTAATCTATAGAGCTCGCTCAAAATTCTTCTTGGTACACATGCACGTTCCTTTTATGGTACGGCTAGCTTTCACCTCTTCTCTCCGCACAAGCATCTACCAGCTTGCAGAGCAAAATAGGTCAAGATGATGTCAGCTCCAGCTCGTCGAAGGCACATCAATGATTCCATCATAACCCTTTCTTCATCAATCATTTTCAGAACCCCACCTGCTTTAATCATCGAATATTCACCTGAAACCTATAGAGAAAGAAACTCCAGAAACTTTAGAAAATGATAGTGCAGAATCGAAGGCAAAAACTAGTGTTCAAGGATATTTGGCAATAATTGATGTAAAAGAAGACAATAATAGGGCATTACATAAAGAATATGGAAATGAGTTTCTATTCACATGTTTCATTTCTTTTCTACTAGCAATGGTTGTCATCAATACATCAGCATGCTACTTTATTTATACTCTTATACTTTAACAGAACTGAACAATTCGGCAGTTTTGAAAAAACGAGATTCAAAGCCTCATTCATCAAAATGATTCACTTGGCAAAGCGTTCAGCTCTATTTGGAAGCAAGGGTCACTTATAAGAAAAGAAGGCTTTCATTTTACTCAAATCCCTTATAATTGTAAAAAAAACATGGGCAAGAATCAGAAATGACATTAGAGACAACGACCAAGTAAACATTTGTCTTAGCTGAATAAAGCATTTTGTCTGTCGGTATACATATTTGTCCTCTAGAGTTGGATCAGTATTTAAGAATTGATAGGTTTCACAATATCAAACTTCTGTTCTCCTAAGAAGCCATAGTAAAAAATTGTATAGGCTGTACAAAGGATTCAAACTACAAAACCCTTTATAAATATACTGTTCAAAACCAGAACTCAAAGGATAAGTAAATCGACGAGATCTCTAATTGGTCACACAGAAGCACTGAAAACCTTGAGTGAACTCGTTGGATTTCTTATTACTGCAATCCATCTAAATGACAATGCTGAATATGAAGTAAACCATCTTAAGCACAAAGGCAAAGACAAATGTTCTGAAGTTCCATAGCGACCTTAGATATTTCATTTTATCCCCTCTAAAGCCTTCAATATAGCCTACTGCTTCATCATCAGTTCATAATGTTACAGCTCTGACGGAGCAACAATTAGATCATCGCTTTTGACAAGTACCGCTAAGATTGAGCATCACGTAATGTTCAATGAAATTTTGAATGATGACAAACAAGTTAAACGAACATTTGAGTACCTGATAGGCAGCAATGGGCAAGGCAGATTTATCCCGAAGAAGCCTTATAATATCCAAATAAGGCAAACCTGGTTTAACCTGATATGCAATAAAGCAACTTTAGAACAGAATGAGTAGTATACATCCACTATTCTGCAGAACAACAAAAGCAGTACTGACAAGAAGAATATCAGCTCCTTCAGACTCATCTGCTTGCAGCTCAACTAGTGCTTCTCTGTAATTTGCAGGGTTCATCTGATAACTGCATGTGAAAACCAAGTTCAAGGAAAAGTAAGCTATATAATAAATGATATATCTGTTAAAAGGAAAATCAATTTTAGTTTGTTGTTCAGTACGTTTTCTTGTCTCCAAAACGTGGATTTGAATCTAAAGCCTCTCTGAAAGGTCCATAAAACGAGCTTGCATACCTGCATTATGGTTCAAGCTAACAAGTTGAGAAAGAGATGGAAGTCGAGTTTCAATAACAAAGAAGCTATAAAAAGAAAGAAGAAAATCTGCAAAAAAAAGTCCGCATTCTAAGTTATTAGACTACTAGTGCCCGAAACCATCACAATGACTGATTATCAAAGTTATATTGCGCGAAAGGAACTAGTTCTTTTAAAGCTTCCAGTCAGTGCTTATACTAAACAATGACATGAGAAAATTACTATAAAATGCTGTTTATCCATTTAGGCACGAAGGAAATCATGCTGCTCAATGTACAATATAGGAAAAGGCAAAACATAGGAAAGCTGCTTAACTGAATAGAGAATCAATGTGCAGACAGCTAAATATTCCAGAACAAATATATAATATTTGCATAACAGAACTTATGAGTTTTGACAATTACTTTGCCGTATAGGACATGATAGAGACATGCTGAAACCCTTCAGCATCAAGAGCTGCTCGAATTGCTCCCACGCGACCGTCCATCATGTCACTCGGACTGACAACATCTGCTCCTGCTCTGGCCTAAGGCAAAGAAGAGGAGAGTAACAAGATTGGAAATTGCATTTCTAATTAGAAGTTCTAACGAATTGGATGCAAGCATAAAAACTTGCAACGGAAAAGACAAACGGACACCTGATGCATATATGTTTTTAGGTTTGAAAAGCATTACATGTTCAAGGAGAAGCCAAGTTCAAGAGCAGCATCATCAATTTGAAGGATTACTCAACCCAATTATATTTTAGGATATTTTATTCCATGTTGTATGTTGAATTTTACTGCTTTACTGTTATAGTACACTTCTGGCATATTTGGTGCGCTGCTGGTTCCTTCTTCTCTGTTGTTTTGAGCTCTTAGTGGGATTCTTGTGGATATGAAGGCAAACAAGTAGACACTAGAGCAGCAATTGAAAACCCTAGAAGAATTCATGGCAAGCTGGTTTGACTAACCGAAGCCGTTTTGCAAGTTACAGGATTCACTTAGAGAAGATTTAAAAGTAGTATTCGAGCAACTCTCCAGTGAGGTCCCTTGTCTTTTATGACAGAATTTCCTAACCAAACACTCTTGCAAAAAAGCTCCAGAGTATCCACTACTACATGTACTGCCGCTTATAATAAAACTGAATGATCGTTTTCCTTTATCCATTATTCTCTTTGACAATCTCCCCCTGCCAGGGCTGCAGCGCCATTGCCTTCATCCTCTTACACCCACTTAGCCAGCTGTTCCTTTATGTTGTACTTTCTCCCTTCATGTAGTTGTGTCCCCTCTGGGATGACTTTAACCTTTTTGATTTGCAAATTCTGTACTTTTGTAATGACTAAAATCATGTTCAGTCTTGAAACAATACAAAAGAAAGAGATGGTGGTGATAACTCAGCCTGCAACTCATCGTAGAAATAATTTTCAAGGACCACGAAAAACTGGTGCAACTCAACTAAGGTGAAAGCAAACAATGTGTACACATTAAGTGTATAAAGAGTGAGAAGATTGTGTGAATGAAGAAACAATATCATATGAGATAAAAGATAACCTGGGCAACCGCCTGCTTGCACAACTGATGCACAGTCTCGTCATTCATGATAACTCCTGGACGCCATTACAGTTGAAAAAATAGTTCATAATCCATGCCTCAATGAAACTTAAGTATTCAGCACGTCAAATTTAACTCTGTTTATGTGTGGTCATTCATTCATAAGAAACAACAAAAGGCAAAAAATTTCATGCTTCTTTGTCTTTATACTTTCAGTCTTCCCTCGACTGCCATTAACAAGAATATTAGTCCAATTAAGTTCCTTTTATGGAAAAGGAAATATCATTGATGGAGAAAAGAGATACACAATCAAACGGGGGACAAGTACAAATTTCCCAACACAATTTTGACGATCATTCACAACTGACACCATGCTAAAGCTATCAACCGTTGAGACCAAAATACGGGCATGCCTTTTGACTTGGTTTGGGCAGGGGCGTATCTATGTGTTGGAGCATGGGGCACGTGAAACCATGCTCCTCTCTCGATACCATGTATAATAATGTTATATTTCTTAAAAATTCCTTTAAGGCAGCCTCTCTGCCTTCTTAAAGGCAGGGGTAAGGTCTGCGTATACTCTACCTTTCCCAGACCCCACTTGTTGGATTACAGTGGGTATGTTGTTGTTATTGTTGTTGTTATTGTTGTTGCACCCAAGCTCAAAGAGTCCTATGGTGCAATGATTATTTACAAGTGAAGTTAGAGGTTCAAATCTCAGTTTGTAGGCATGTCTAGTGTCCCTCTTGTATTTTAATTAAATATTATTTTTGTTTCTTTCTTTTTTTATTTGGTTATTCATTCAAAATCCCCAAATCTAACACATTGAGATCATTGATCTCCTTTTGTCATTGCAAAATTTTATATAATTAAAACTAGTAGCAGTAGATGATGTAGCACGGATCAATGATTCCGGCATTTTTTATATGGAGTATAGATATTTATATGTTAAAAATTACCAAAATTACAAGAATTTTTTTAATTTTAACCTGCAATTTCTAAGTGATAATGGATTCATGGTAAGAACTAAAGGTTGAACCTGTCAATATAAATTCTAGATTCACCTCTTTGTAACAGTGCCCATCATTCTTATCCTGGGTCCGCCTCTGGGTTTGAGTATTAAATAAATAAAACCCACAATGTTAGGTTTGGTTCACTATTAGAAAGGAGAAAAAAAAACTGAACTGACTATATATATAATCAATTTACTATTTATTTTACTGAGATTTGTAAGAACTTTATATATTTTTAGCAAACAAAAAAAGTCGTCTAAACATATTCATGGTCCTTGCTCGATTCTTTTATTTTTTTATATTGAAGTTATCTAGGAGTGATTTGTTTATTGTTTTATTCACTAAAGTTAGTTGAGTTTGGAAGTATATATGGATGTTAGATCATTGTTTAATTTATGAATTTGAATAGCTATCATGTCTCACAGTGAACTTCTCACCAACGGACGTTTCAACAGATAATAAGTTCATCTATTTGTTGGATTTTTTTTTTTTGTTTTTGATGAAGAGAAATCTGTCTGGGGCCGACCTACCGCAGCCTTCGAAAACGGGGATAATGGGCCAGCCCCTCCACCCTTCTCCACTTAAATACTATGCTTATTCTTAGTCACAAGTCCCTCAACCTTTGCCACTTGAACTAAGCCCTGGGGTCCATTTTCTGTTGGATTCTTGCTAAACATAAATTGACATACCAGAAGTTTTATCCTTAGCTGTGGATTGAATTTGTATTTCATTTGATAAAATACTGAATAAACCGACAAAAACTGAAATCATGAAACCGATTCTATTTGGTTTGGTTTTGTTTGTATATTTAAATTTGGTTTGGTTTGGTATGTATCTAGCAAACTGACATAGTTGGTTCGATGTAATTCTGCAATAAATGGTTTTCCTTTTAGGCTGGGATGAATGGAAAATTATGTATTACCATCTTCTCTGACAATGCCATCATGCCCATCAGATGAATATGGATCCAAAGCAACATCAGTGTAGATAACCTGTCGACGAGCATAAAAAATCAGAGGAAGATCCAGACATCCCCACAGCAAAATTTGGCTGTTTAATTAGCAGTCTAAGCAGATAAAATGAAACCCGGTAATGTGTATATACATACAAGATCAGGGTATTTGTCTTTCAACAACCGTATAGCTCGAGGCACTAATCCATTTTCATTGTATGCTTCATCTCCTGTAGAGGTCTGAAGTTACAAAAAAAAAAGTTATGTAATCGCAATTCAGATGGTACATGGAAATTTATGCTGGTAAAAGAAGACCTTTAAAGCATCTGGCACTTTTGGGAAGAGCACAATGCTGTTGACGCCAACATCCCTCGCCTTTGAGACCTGTAAAAGAAAAAATGTATTGTTTCAAGAAAATGCACAAAAGTATTGCAAAGGCGCCATTATTATTGTAGTAAATTATGAATTTGTGAATATGATATTCTTTGTATATTTAGCCTATGTTGCTCAGACTCGGGTGCAGGTACCCGATTCGGGTGCGGATCTAGAGGTCGGATTCTTCATGATCTAAATTTTAAGATTCGGGGGATACAGATACAGGTACAAATATGAGTGCGAGAACTCGGCTAAAAATAATTCAAAATTCTAAAAATAGATCTATAAAAATACCCAAAGTTATGAGAAATATTCTGTGGAAACTTATAGGTAACAGAGAGCAGCCAATAATTCAATCTTTCATTTTGAGAATTTCTCAGGTTGTAGACACTAGGCAGCACTAGTAGGCAGCAACTAAAATTCAATCTTTCATTTTTCGTCAAATTTGTCCATGGATTGTGGTCAAAGTACCCAATCTTGATTGACCACACCCAGTACGAATCCCACACCCTTACCGGTACTAGTGACATGTCGACATAAGTGTGGCGGCTAAAATGAAGAGTCCGCGCGACATAGTATTTAACCAACCCATCTTTGGCAAACGGCCAGATTGAAATTGAAGCACTAAGAAAATTTTTATGGGCATCTAAAAGCATAAAATAGAATGGTGACATTCTGAAAGCTGGTTAAATTCTAGAAATGCTGCAGTTCCATTTGGTGTTTAGTTCTCAGTCCGAGGCAGCAAGCATAGGAATTAATTGCTGCCTACAAACCCAATAGCCTATCCATTTATCACCCACTAGATTTTAGCCTGTCCATTTCTTTACCCTTTATATCTCCTTATTTCTTATTTAGCAGACCCCATTTCTGTTACAACAGATTTACAGTATCTAATTTATTTTCCATGTATTTAATTTCTGCTTTATCAAATGTGAGTCTCCTCACGTATTGCATGTGAGGAAGATTTTATTTTTTTTTAATAAGTAGGACAATAAGAATTGTTTAGTACCAATTATTGCCAAAAGCAGTTCTTAGTCCCAAGGTGATTCCTCCATTAGAAGACTCGTCCTATACATTCTTAAACTATTAGCAGCTTTTAAGTACATACATGAGTTCTTTGTTTCTCTGTTTATACTCTTTTCCTTGTTCCTGATATCTGCGCGCTCATACCTGCACCTACAGAAATTTCTACCAAAACAGTACTTAATAATCCTCTTCCAGTGAATAAATCAGTCTTTCACCCTGCCCAAGCCCTTAAAAGTGAAAATGAATATCTAGACCTGAATCCCAATTTAAACATAGTTCCGGTAGCTGAAATTGAAGTCTTGTATATATCTAGAATACTGAAGTCTGAAACGCATGTCCAGCTTGCACGCCTATCCTAATCAAAGTAGGGACCATTATTACACACAGTAAGTGACTGTAACGAATCTAATAGCAGAAATTTTGACAGTGTTATTTTGATATTTTGCCAAAGAAGAGCAAAGTGTGTATGATTCTCAGAACTATATAAATAGAACAGAGAACATAGACATGCATGTTTGTTGATATTACTGACAAGATTGAGTGATACCCAAAAAGGATCATAGTCTTTATATAACCTACGCTCCAAGTCTATGTGCAACACCCTCAGTTCCTAATAGATCAAGTGGTTTATCTGCCCAGCCCAGAAACAATAAAACCTACTACAAGGATAGCGTTTTGTAAATCTAATGCTATTGCAAAAATTTTATCATTAATAGTAGAAATATTGTTATGATACTAGTCATAATAACATAGACAATGGAAAATACATCACCAGCAAGATTTAGCATAATCATAGCAACATGACAATTATTGTAGCACATCATCATCAAATTAGGAACACTATGAAACCAATACAAAGCATGCCTACAAAGCCGATCATATCAAAATCAAGGAGAGAGTTACTTATGGCCCAAGGTGGAGGTGCAGCGGTTTGTCATCCTTAGACAAAAGGTGGTCTTTCAGGAGTGATCATCGTTTGTCACCACCTCCCACCTATGCTGCACATTAGATACTTGATAGAGTATGTTTGCTTGTTATTTATGTGATCTAACGCATCAGGCACTTCATTTTTCACCCGCTAAAACTTTGAAGAGGAGGGGGAAGTGGATTTATTATACTACCAGATCAATTAGGGAGAGAAGAATCGAATTAAGGAATCAAAATGCTGAAACTCTGGTCAAAGAAGGCAAAGCCAAAATGGAGAATGAAGAATCCTAGGAATCGCTGAGTCACCAACCTCTTCAACAAGACCATGCCTCCATCCAAGCCTATAACATCCAGGCATTGCTCCAATAGGTGTGTCCTCTTCACCTGCAAGTGCGTGCCATTTGTAAAAACAGATTGAGAGAGGTTTTTTAGTAAAGAAGAACATAGTTCAGTCAGGTACTCACCCTCATGAATAAATAGTGGATATACAAGATTCGCAGGGCTTATATTTGTTTCCTGGAATGCAGCCCTAACTGCTGGAGACTTACGATTACGGCGTGGTCGCCTATTAATTGGCTATACAAGAAAAATCTGATCATTAGTTACAGGCACATAGAAAATCAATCACATCAGCTTCCAATGCAGTATTGTGTCAATATTAAAAACGTTACCACCAAAAATTCACAACAGTCTGCCAATTCAACCAAGATGATATCATTTATACAAAAAACAAGTAAAAACTATACTACTTACTAAATAATAAATGTGGTATGCGCTGAAAGCTTACTAAAACTTGAAGGATTAAGCTTTAGTTACACCATCTTCAAAGTCAAGTTTTGATTGTGTAAATGGAATTAAGACACTATGACGTTTCTAAAATTATCAGAAACACCCTATACATAAATGTCATTTAATTTGCAAGTATCAATTTAAACATTCCACACCCTGCGTCCAGATAAGAAAAGCCAAAGATGTTCCAAGAAGTTGTTAGACCTTATACGTACACTTCAAGATTTTATAGTTCGATATAATTTTATCAAAGTGTGGTTGCTTTCCTTTATGAGGCTTTCTGTAGCAGGAACTCTTGAAAATGTTACACAAAATCTTGAAAAGGTTAGGTAATGCCTCAAAATGTAATAACACCCTTCAGCATCAGTTTCGCAGTGTTCCAATACCATACTAAGTATTATTTATGAAACTCCCATCCTATCATTTCAGTTGAGTAGGTGAAAAAAAGTTTTATATGCTAAGCTAGTTATCATTTATTGAGATGCCTGTACCCAATTGTGACTAAGTTATCACATCATATTTGTTCTCCACATCTTCTGCTATTCTCATGTAGAGTTGGTAAGTTAGTTGTCATTCAGAAACAATGTAAAAGAAATGTAATTACACCACAGTCAAATACATCTGGCAAGTTCAATTAAAAACAAATAGAACATTCTGGACTCTTTCATATCTAATTCTGATAACAATTTGATAGGAAATTAGAAACTGACTTTCAGCAGCTTAGAATGAAAAAGATGGATGTTTTGAACACTTGCTCACCATTTCCAAAATGGACATTCAAAAAAATTACAAGTAATGATAAGTCTCAAACTAACCAGTGAAGACACAGCAGGAGTACCGGCAGGTGCAGCCGGCTTTGGTGGAACTGGAGGAGCTTCAGGCGCATTTCCAGCAACCACAGCAGCCTCGCACTCCTCATCAGTCAAGCCCATCTTTCTCAAGGGCCCTGAACCGGACCCATTATCATGCCCTTCACTGCTAGCCCTTATGGTCAACACCCTCCTCCGATTCAACCAAATACAGGGCCGTGCACAAAACAAATTTGGCGATGGCTTCACTTTCACCTCAAACTTCACAGCTCCAATATTACAAGGTGAGTTCAACATTGACGCGGAAGCCATTACTGCTCAGATAAGCAGCTCTACGAGTATGACCAAAAAATCACAAATTACAAATTTGAGCATTCCAAAACATTAATACAGATTAAGTTGTGATTATCTCCAAAATTTGACCAAAACCCAGAAAATGTCTAATGATTCTATTAGTAAAACCAATAATAAAAAGAACCAAGAAAAAGTTTCATTACAAGGCTAGAAATTTTAGAATTAGTAAACCTAATGGAGATGAACATATGATTTCTTCAGTTATTTGGAGAAAACCCAAAAAAGATGGAAACTTTCAAATTCAACTTTAAGGCATCGAAAAGCAAAATTGAGCAAAAGATGTGATTTTTCTCAAGTAATTTTTGCAGAACGCAATAAATTCTAAAATGCATCAATGAACCAACTAGCATATATATATAACAAGAATTAAAATTTGAGGCATTGAAGAGCAAAATTGAGCTAAGGATGTGATTTTACGCAAGTAATTTTGCAGAAAAAGAGAAGGAAAATTTTACCTTGAATAGAGGAAGAGAGGGAGAAAGAGAATTGAAGAATCTTATCAATAAAAAAGGCCAATTGACGTGAACTTCTAACAAGAAGATTAGATATTGGAATTTTTTTCTTTTTTCTCCATTTTTTTTTTATTCTATACTTCTTTTCTTTTCTTTTTTACTTTTTTTCTTTCTCTTCTCCTTTTCTTTTTTCTCGATTTCTTCTTATTTTTTTCCTTTTTTCTTTTCTAATTTCATTTAACTTCTTTTTTTATATTCTTTTTCTCTTTATAATCTAATTTCATTTACTGTTTTCACTATTTTTTATTATTCTTTTTTTTATTCAATAAGAAAAAATAACTGAATAGTAAATATTTGTTCACCTTTTTTAAATATAACTAGTACAATATGCCTTTTATTTTTTTTCTTTCTCATTTTTTAAATTCAATTATTAAACTAAAATAATATCAGTTGTCACTTGATCTAATTCACTGAATATCACACTGACTGCTGTTGAGCACCATAAATTACATCAGATTCTAAGAATCAACACATGATTGTCATGCAAACCTTGATCTTCTTCCGTACAAATATCAGTACATCCTCTACCATTAACAGTAACTAGTATAGTACCCGCGCGATGCGCGGAAAATACGAAGAAAAAAATATAATAAATTATTAACTTAGTTGCTTAACCAGCTCATATTTTTATAACTTGATCAATCGTAAAATTTAAACCATTTGATCGACGAAAGTTTATAATAAGGCAAGTAAGGTAGGAAAAAATATTTTATGTAGCCTAAATTCCCGTAAGATATTGTGTTATGTACAATGAGAATTTAATTTAACTTAACTTACTATAATTATGTGATTTAATTATGTATGCATTAAAATGATGAGTAAGTAACAGAAGTGTATGTGTAGCCACATATAATAAACTATCTGATTTCCACTACAAACTACATGCTTCCTTGGCTTAATTTAAGTTTTTAGAAATCGAAGCCCGAGAAAAAGCCGAAAGCAATCACAAATTAAATAAAATTACATTTATTTGATTTATTTTTCCATGTTAGTTCTACATGAAAACTATATATAGCTTCATCAATAATATACCAAATCAACCGTCCATCCCAAGTTGATATAGAGAGAAAGAGATTATGAAATCACATTTATAGTTTAGTAGCAAGTAAAATTTGGCTCAACTTGGAGATTAGTGTTACAAGAAACGTGAAGAATTAGTCGCTGCGAATAATTATTTAAGCCCATGCAATGCCTTGTTTAATAAGGAACATTTCTTATATTATGTGTGAATACGATCTACACAATAATAAAATCTCTATTAAATCAAAGGTACTTATATAATTATCGATTAATTTTTGGTTGAATATATTATTTATTATATTAAGCAATATACAAAATTTCTTAAAAGTTATAATGGGAGTTTAACAGAGTGAGTAAAATTTATGAGAATATTTCAATCATAACATAGTTGCTGCCATATTATTTTTGTATGTTACTTCCTTAACAATTGCCGCGGCCAAACAATATAAATATCTATTAATAGTTTATACTCACGGAAAGGAACATAACTGAAGTTTAAATTTTCATTTATAAAGATATATTGTACTGCGAGGCTACTTTGGATGAATTCATATTTGTTACTACATGTCTATATATAGATTCCTCATTAATTTTTCATTTGAAAAGACGAAAAAAAGATTGTAAAGTATTACTATACATGAGAATTACATATAATAAAGTAAACAACGTTTAGTAATGTGTGTATTCATATTTTTCCTCTTTTAAAACATTGGATATGTCGTCAAAGTAGCATTTTTTGAAGGATTAACTTAGTGTTATTACATTATGTTATTTATCTTATATAANTGGTGTAAGTAAACTCTAACCAGAAAGATGGAATTTTTCGCAAGGATGGTCAATAGTGTAGATGAAATTAATTAAAGGACCCATTGCTCTAAATGAAGATGTAATATGCATAGATAAATTGAATGACATCAGTACCAAACTTATATGAAGCCATTTGATCATCCCCATTAGAAATTGCAACTAACATGACAATGCATCCTTGGATTCTCCCAACTCTTCTCTTAACTGCAGCAACATCTGATAGACTCACCAACAGCCCCACTACTTCTTTTTGCTCTTCGAAATCACGACCAAGCGACTTCACCATTATCGATAAGTTCCCTATTTCTGCCATCTTTTCCTGCACACAATGTGAAAAATCCAACCTTTAACTTCTGATTGAACAGCCTTAGAACAGCCTCAAAATACTCCAAAAAGCTGCGAAAATCAGCAGCAAACAGTCCGAAACGCCGCGACTTTCTCACCCAAAAACAGTCGAAAAATTCCAGCTGAAACCTGCTGCCGAAATAGCTCAAAAACAGTCCAGAAATCTGGAGCAAGAGCAGTACCGTGTATTAGTGGAAGAAATATAACTTTGCGAGTTGTTTGTTAGTATATTTAAACCTTAAGAATTTATTAGTTCAAAGTAACTCAAAATAGTAACAACTAATGATGATGAGATAACAGATAAGCATACCAATTGAAGTTGTCAACTATTGTTTCTGAAGTTTATTTCCAATATGGTTTAGCAAAGACAGAAGCATGAGAATCAAAAATGTTATGAACTTTCAGATCAGATTTTCTTTCATTATCCAAGTAAATTACGGAAAACTTCTTTGTAAACTACATTTATTGCTTCATTTGAAATTTCTCCATCATCGTAATAAACCAAAATCTTTAATCCCTTTCTTTTTATAACTCGTGATAGAGCAACGTAAAGCTGCCCATGTGTGAAGACCGGTTTCTTCAAATATAACCCAACATGAGATAAAGATTGTCCCTTACTTTTGTTTATAGTCATTGCAAAGGATACAACTATTGGAAATTGCCTTCGTTGGAACTTAAAAGGTATTCTTGCATCAGATGGAGTTAATGACATTCTCGGAATGAAGACCTTTTGTCCAGCCATATTTCCCGATAAAAGTTTTGCTTCGATAACCCGATTTCCGAGTCTAGTGATGATTAATCTTGTTCCATTACATAGCCCTGAAGATGGGTCTATATTTCTCAATAACATCACTGGGACACCCACTTTCAAAGTGATAACATGATTTGGAATTCCAGAACACTTAATAGTGTTTAGGAATTCAGGTGTATGTACGTGTTCCAAACCTGTAAAAGCATCGTCTGACATGCAAATTGTATCGGAACTCAAAAATGTTTTTGGTTGACTTTGGTTTAGTGAAACCATGTATTCGTTGATTGATTCAACCATGTCAAGAGTGGGAGCAAGAATTCCTCTTTGTTGCAGGTATGTTATATCACTGCAATGACTTAAAAAATTTGGATATGTACTTTCCACAATCGCAGAAATTGGATCGCCACAATTATTTATGATAAGATCATCAGGGATGTGAACTTTATCAATATCATCAACAGAATTTCCAATCATACCATCACCTATTGCTAAAATCCAATCAGAAAATTATCTTAGATCATTCAAATGTGAATCCACCTGATTTCCTTCCAACCTTATATTTTTTGTTAGCTTTAAGACACGGCAGTGATTCCACAAATATGAAGAATTAAGGGCAGCATTAACAATATCTTGTCTAGTACCTTTTGGAATGACTGGAAGTATTTGTCTAAAGTCACCACCAAGAACAACCGTTTTTCCTCCAAATGGTCGATCTAAATTGGATGCATCTTTAAATCTAAGAATATCTCTTAGAGTTCTGTCTAGAGCTTCAAAATAATATCTATGCATCATTGGTGCTTCATCCCAAATAATTAACTTTGTCTTGACAATCAATTTTGATAAAGGAGTACCTTGTTTGATATTACATGTTGAATCTTCAGTTGCATTGAGTGGGATTGCAAATCTCGAATGAGTTGTTCGACCTGCTGCTAACAAAAGAGATGCTATTCCGCTGGACGCAACTGTTAACACAATATCTCCTTTAGATCTTATGGCAGAAGACAAAGTTCTCCAAATAAATGTCTTCCCGGTTCCTCCATGACCATATAAGAAGAAGAATCCACCTTTGTCCTCATGCACTGCTGTGATAATTCTGTCATAAACTAACTTTTGCTCTACTATCAATTTAACCAATAATTCTTCATGTTCCTTAGATAAAGAGCACCTATTATAACGCAATTCTTCACAGATGAGTCTATTGGTGTTGCCAACTTCCTCTTCATTGAAAATCGGTCTTGGCATTGTTGGAAAATCTTATAACGTTTTTCCGCAACCTTTCAACAAATTTTCCAACTTTTGTAGACAATGATTCTTTAGTTCATCGTTTGTTAGCTCAGCCTCTAAAATAACAAAACTACATAATTAATTAATTAATTATAAAAATATAAAATTGTCATGAGTCATATAAAGATAAGAGCAAAATAACTTCCTTCAGAAATAGTAAAAGAAAATTAATGTTACTTTACTTCATTGGAAGGCTACATCGATTATGTCTCCAACAAAATATATTAATAATTAATCGCTCATAATTTGCAAGCCTAAATGTAGATTGTAGATTAGACTAAGATTTAATTTGTATGCACCAATAATGTAAAAATATTCTAACAATTTTATAATATTAAAATCTGAAGTAGAAGGTTGATTTGTATACCTGGATTATCCAATATTCTTCTTTCTTCATGTAAGATATCATCTGATAATAAAATCCATGTTGCCTCCCAAATACATTCTGGCCATGACATTGAATTGGATAATAGTAACATGGCAAATAATTCCCTAAGATATGATGGCATTCCCCAGTTACTTGCCTCCTTTATGGCATCCACATACTCTTTGTCATCATCTAATAAACCCAGTGCATTACATGCATCTCTAAAAGTTAAATGTTCGTGATTGTTGATTCTGCGTAAATCCTCATAACACTTAGGTCCTTTAATGACATTCAACAACATTCGAAGGTAATATTGCTCTCCACTTCCAGGTGGTACAAAGAATATTCTCCCTATTGAAAATACAGAATTTCTTCTTTTTTTCCACTTTTTTAGTTTTTTAATCCACACAAATTTAAGAGAAAATTCCGCATAAGTTAATTCTCTTGCTTCTTCATATGTATTATTTGCCTCAAACTAGCTTAAAAACTATGATTCCTTTACACTTGGTCTATTGGCAACATCATCAATTGGATCATCATCAGAGAAAATAACTGTTTGTTCATTTGGTAGATGAAAAGAAAGTCTTTCTACCGAAGGTTCTCTATGGTTAATTGGAAATTTAAAAATTCTCCAAGCAGCTTCACACGGTGATATGTATCGACAATCATAATACATTTTTATTTCATCAATAGCCGATGAGTCTTCCTCATGCACACTTTGAGAAAAAGCTGTTGTCACACGATCATGACCCTTATTAACGTACTTAAATAAGTACTTGATTGATCGAGATTGATTGCACCATTCAACATTTATATGTGCGCCATACTTCAACAATAAATATCTATTGTGTGGCACCACGTACCTGTTATCCAATTCAATACCTTCTTTCTGGATAGTTCTACCATTGTCCCTTCTTTTATA